ACGGGACATTACAAACCCAAATAACTCTCCTCTAAGTCCTGTGGTTTGTTTTTTGGGATGCATGCTTCCTCTGTTAAATTAACTTCAGTAACTTCATATAACTAACTCAAGGTTTCCTCTATATATAGTGAAAGTGGTCAGACCCTGAAGGTTGGGATTCAGAGGGTTTGGTTATTTTATAATGATCTTAAGATTGAGCTAACACTGAACAGCAGCAGTAACATATGTTGGAGAGACGGCTTATTTGTGTTTGGTTATAGCCAAAGTAAAATCTATGTTATACACAAAAAGATGGAAGTAGATATTATAAAACAGGATTAGAGGAAGTTTAAATATGGTATAGTGACTCAGGTCACAATAAAACTTTACCCGAGAATCAAGAATTTAAAGCACTTTGTTCATGGTTGTGCTAAACAACAATGCAGTTTAATAGATATGATGAACCAATGTAGATGTGATAGAAAAACTGGAGAAGAATGTCTCAAAAAACTGATTCAAAAAAAATTCATTTATGTCCTTCAGGAGGGCAGTTTCAGTATCATGATGATTCACCACAATTTTATTCAGATTGTTTGCCCATAAAAATATCTTTGAGATTGGTCCAAAAGCGTCAGTCACAGACTAGCGCATAATAATATACTGAAATGTACCATGCAGCTTTCAGAGGAGAGCTACATTTTCATAAAAATCTTTAGTCCCCTCTGTTCAGTAACACACCTCATTACTTACTCTCATAGAAAGAAACATTTAATCCTATATAGTTTTTTCTACTATAGATCAAAACATGTGAAATGAAAGAATTGTGTTTCATTCACTGAGTTTGTCCTTTTGCAACAACCGTTTCAATTCATAGTCAAGTCAAGAGTTAACTGCTCGTTGTTGGCATTCACTGATCTGTGGCACCCCGGTCCAATAATGATTAAAATCATGGACTAAACTCAGTGTAATTCCAACGGGACTCTGAGCTAACACCCAAGCAACCAACTTTTTTTCATCCTCAACCTGGAGCTCTTTCAGAAACAGGCCTCCACACTTATCTGTTGCCATCGTCTGCCGATGCCAACATCATTGATATTTGGGATAAAAGTGAGTCCTCTGTGTTGTCTCTGTGGGGTTAGACCACTGTGAAGCCCGGATCAGAGCCACCGCTGACCAGAGATGACCCTGATTGAGTCGCAGGCTGCTGAAGATTGAGGGATTTTATTTATTAGGGGGAAGTGTGGACACACAGCCATGCCCGGTGGAACTCTGGGTAGCACTTTTTTATGTTTATATAAGTCTGACAGACTCTGGCATCCTCTTGACTGATGGGGACAACAACTTTGCTGTGGGACTGAGATTGAGACAGGAAGGGGCTGCAGAACACAGTGAGTGTTGGCTGTCACTACAGAAAAGCTGTAGTTCAATTAGCCTGAGAAAGAAAGGAGTCTCTCTGAGCCCTCCCTTGTAATATTATCAGCCGTGTAATTTACGACTCGAGAGCTTCAGAAAGATGCTAACCACTCAAGTTATGGAGGCAGATACATGTATATGTATGAAAAGCTGTGTTTCAGATTAATGAACCAGCAACAAGGACGAAGAGGGGGTGAGGGTCTTTTGACTTTTAAATTAAATTCTTCGTAGATCCATTTGTCAGATGGAGTTTAGCCCAAGTGAGACAGATAATTATATGTCCATGTGATTACAACACACACACACGTACACACACACACACATTCACACACACTCACACACACTCTCACACACACATACACACACATCAAACCCTTTCAGGGGCGAGTAGCAGACTCAGTCATTAATAGTTATATTAATAGGAGTGGCTGTTATAATTATAATGCAAACGCTTCCATCACACCTCCGCCTGGCCTCCTTCTTGAGAACATAACAGTCTGATTGATTCTGTGAAATGGACAAACCTACTTTACTAAAGGATAAAGTACAAGATGTTATGGGCAGTAATTAAAAAGCCCATTAAAACACACCACCCTCTCAGGTTTTACAGCTGGTAGATGTCAAGTGCTCACAAGTCTCCCCACAGTCGTCCTTTATCTATACACGGTCACGTCTACTAGCTTCAAACTCACTTTGTGGGGTAAACATTTGAGCAACTTTGAAGAAGCAGTAGCTCACTTAGGCTTGTTGTAAATTAAATATGAAATGTGTTGGATGTGAAGTGGGAAATATAAAGAAAATACTTTTTTATTTTTTTTATTTTAAGCTTTCGGCATTACCAGCTCTGATGATGCTGTAACTTTTCATGAATGCATTGTCGTCTGTGTTGAGTTGAATTGTTCAAACTCTTAACGACTTTAGCACAGATGCATTAATTGCAATTTGATTACCAATGTGCTTTATAACGTTACATATCCAATCACAACCTGTAGTGATGACTATTCCTCCTTTCTGCAGAGGCACGTCACGTTTAGGTACAAACGAGTAGAAAAGGTGAAATTAAAATTAGCCCAGATCTGTGTGTATCTGCAGCATCTTTCTACAGCTTGTTGAGAACAATGGATTCTGTTCTGATCTAATCAATGATGGTGTTATTTCTAACTGTCAAACAGACACTGATTGGCTCATATTTTCTAATTATGTTTTTTACTCTGATGCCATCTGATATAATAATGAAAGATCCTGTTTGTGTTAATGAGGGTTTGAGGACAGTTATTATTTTACCAGCAAGGATCTGCATCTCCAACTCTCCCAGGATTCATTACATTATATATGATTCAATTTAATTTGTAGAAATGACGATACACTACGATACAAGGCTAGTTCAATTTGATTCTGATGTTTTAACAGTTTGAATAATAGAAAAGTGACTAAAATGTCCATCTATAAATAAGAATACTCATGGCTTCAAAAACCAGGTGTAGGTGGACCCAGAAAACTGCTGATGCGAATAGCTAACTTTTCCTCTTTGAACTGCTAAAATTGGTTACCTAATTGTCACAAATGCTAGCTAAGATTTCAGGCAGCGTTGAACACATTGGTCCCAACCAACATGTGTTTTCAGGATAGGACATTTACTTTGTTTCCTCAAGGAGCACATGTTTAAGTCTAAGTTTAAAAATGTAAAGGTACATACATTTTTTTAAAGTGGCACATTTCAATAATAATAATGTTTTTATTCTGATGGTGGTTCCCGGTTCGAATCCCTGATTGACCAGGGTGTTTCTGTATGGAGTTGTTCCATGTTCTTCCTGTGTCTGTGTGGGCTTTCAGTCCAAAGACATGCAGATTGGGGATTAGGTTGAGACTTTAAATTGACCATAGGTGTGAATATGAGTGAGTTGTTGTTTCCAGTCCATTTTGTTCCTCGCCTCTTGCCCACTGTCAGCTGGGATTGGCTCTAGTAAGATATTAAAAATCATTTCTAAAAGGAAAAGCACTGTAGATATTTGATGGGATGGGGTTTTTTATCATTAATAATAGCAAAAGATGAGACATTTACAGGCAAAGTGGTTTCATGGAATTGAAAAGTTCATTAGGTCTTTAATTATTTCTGCTTCAAACTGTTGACTGTGGATCCTGTGAAGTGTGTGTTTGACAAACAGATGTCGACTTAATCACACACACACATTGTTTTGATGAGCTTCTTGATCTAATATGTGTAAGTGTATATTACTGAAATGATCTGGGTGAAGGAGAATGCCTCCCCTGACAGTGATGTGATTTGATCCTCTGGAAGAAAAACACGTCTTACTCCGTTGGATTTGTGGGAAGCTGCAGAAACTCTCACACAACACTTTCACTTGTGGTTGAACAATGGTGTTACAAACTATCTTTGACAGGTACTGACAAGCCAACAGCAGCTCAGTTTAATTAGTCAACGCTGATATGACAAACCACCGACCTAGTCTGTTATTTTAACCTACGAGTGGCTGAATGTTTTTTTCACACTGATCAACTCATGATTGCTATCGCTGTAGCTTAGTGAACTTGTCTATCATTTTTAACTCACTCACCACTGAGATAATATTTGATTTTCTCTACTTTTCACTGACTTCACTGTAAATTGTAAACAACGTTACAACACAATAAATAAGTTTTTAGTTCTGAACCACAAAACCGTCTGCTCAGTCCATTTAGCCATGGATGATGTCAGGTTGTCTGGCTCACTCTGAACTCAGGCAGCAGTCTAGTAACAATCACGTGGTTTGTTTTTTTATTACAGTAAAATATTTATCAGCCTTTTTGCTGGAAAAAAAAGACCCTGCTAGGGCTGCAAGTGCACGTGAAATGGTCACTGACCTGCTTTTACTGTGTGAATGCTGTGAAAGGCTTGAAGCAGGTATCAACAGGGAATGTGGAGAGCTACCAGGACAGGGTCAGGCTGCGCCGACCACACATCCACACACACCTCTGTACAGAAGTAGCAGCCATTGCGCCACAAAAAGCCATAATTAGACTTGGTTTCTCATCATCTGCCTCCACATTCGCCTGATTCCACTGCACAATAACGCCTCCATGTTGATTACAGACGTCTCATCCTTATTTACCTCTGTACACAGCGTGCTGCTTGTGACGTCTTGTTCTTCTGCTTATGCAAGTCACATCAGGGCCATGACCAGTTCACATTTGGAGTATGGTACTGGCCACATTTTAAAAGAGAATGTGAACAGCTACATAAAAAAATAGATTAAAAAAATAAATAATTCTGAATCAAGCAGTTAGGCTTGCAGTGTGGACGTAGCCTAGTTTTTCAAGACTACAGCATCAGCATTTCCCACTTTTATGCATCATTTGTGGTTGCTTATTGCTGCAGTTAAATCTCTCACTCTTGTATTGTTTAACACATCCTGTTTTTATTATGTTCAATTTTAGCTAATTCTTTGAAGTAATGAGGCCAGAATCATCCAGTGCCTTTTCATGTTGCTTTTTTTCTCCCAGCATGCTCTATTAACCATTGATACTGTACTGTAAGAACAAAGCCGTGACAGTGAACATCTTTTTACAACAGTTCTGTTCATTAAATGGAGACTGCTCTGCCCTCACAGGTACAGTTCTGGTGGAAAACATGCAGATAAATGGTCGACCCCAAGACCCAGGCAGAACCATCTCGCTGACGTTACTAGACAACTACGACTACTGGGTGATACTAGAACCAACGCGACAGAGGCTCTACCTCAACAGCACCGGACGTGTTCTGGACAGAGATGTGAGTACACAACACTGGTGGAGCTCTGCAGTGAAAACATCACACTCATGTCCCCATGTTTCAAAGAATTATAATATGTATTTTCCATCATTTTTTCCTCATGTATGAATTTCACTGAAGCTCTTTCTCTCACCGGCCTCATGGTCGTGTTCTATCCACTCACAGTATCTGATTTTTACATAACTAAGTTAGTTTTATTCACTTCAGTTCTATCAAGCCACTTTAAAGTAACTGATTAATCATCATTATTGTATCTGAGGCCATTCAAATAATGTAAATGGAATGAAGCTTATGTAAATGTTTCATTTATCTTGTCATGGTGACGTTTACTTGAGCAAATATTCCCTCATTGATTTTCAAAAGAAATTTAAACTTAAAGCGCTAATGCTATGAATAGGATAATGATCTGTATCACAGGGGGCAATGTTTTCCTTGAGCTGCCGAACATTTACTTTTTGCCGGATTGCTCTAATAGAGAGCAGAATATTATTATTATGTGTGGTAATATTTTGAGTCACTTTTGCGTCTTTCATGGAACATTGTGAAAATTAATTTACATTAAAACATAAACATGCATTTACTCATTTGGCAGATGCTTTTATCCAAAGCCCTCAGGGCTAATACATTTGAATATGTGATGTGTTCCACTGTTTATCTACAAAGAAAAAATACAAGATGTGTAATAGCAACAGCGTTTCTTGCAATTTATGTCAACACAGCATGATACCATACCCCTAATGCTAAATATAGCAAGACACATTTGTTACTGTCTGTATGTAATATGTCAAAGTCAATTCCCCTCAATATCCTGTCAACCTGCAGTGCATACAGATCATGGCCCAGTATCAGGTGTGAGATGCGGGGGGTTGGCACCAGGTGTTAAGTGTTCTGAGAGGTGTGGGAAAGAAGCTCTTTTTGAAGTGTGCGGTTGCATCAGACGGACTAAAGTCAGGGAGCTGGACATGAGGCTATTAATGGGAATATCTCCGAAATATAGCCAATTAACAGGAGAATGAGGAGCAGCAGAGGAGTGGGGGGAGACAGGTAGTGGTGGCAAGGAGACAAGCTACTGCACTAAAGTAAACATAGAACAGAACATGGCCACAGCAGCCTTAAGCAAATTTACAATAGCAGCTGAATATGCAGACATAATTACAAGACACGTAATTAGCAAGAAGATAGAATAGTGTTTGTTGTCTTTCTTTTTTTGGTCAGGATAATAAGAAACAAGTTAATTGAAGTAAATTGGTTCTGATGGCGCCACAAGTAGATGTCTCCCCTCTCTCTTTTGCTTGGAGCATCATTTGTATGTGTTGTATATTTACCAAGTCTTAGTATCTGAAATCAACTTATTATGACACCAGTCACCTGTAGGGCTACATTCAAAATAAATATACAGCTGTCATAAGTATCTAATATATATTTTGTAATATCTAATTACATGTCTTTTTTTTTTTCTCCCCCTCAGCCTCCCAACTACATCACCACCATTGTGGTTCAGATCCAGTGCACCAATGAGCTGGTCGGTACTGTCATTTTGCACGAGGTGCGGATAGTCGTGAGGGACAGGAACGACAACACTCCTCGCTTTCAGCAGCCACGCTATTATGTGGCAGTAAATGAGGTGAGGTTGTTGGTTCTGCAGGATTTGTAATTCTAATCAATGTAATCGAGAAGTGACCCATTCCAGGTGAAAATTGCTGCAGGCTGTGTATTTGCTATACGTTTTAAATCTATTCATGTCAGTGTCCCCAGGCTGGAAGCGCAAGGGAAGGGACACTGGTAATCGCTTCCGAGATCCTGAATTTTTTAAATCCCATGATTCCTCACACAAGTGCCTTTGATAGTCACACCAGCACAGTTGTTCTGTCCAGCCCCCACATTGTTTAAATAGCAAATACCCCCATCACTGGGTTTGTGAGCCTCAAAATGAGGTATGGCCTGCTGCATTGTGGGTTTATTGTGACCTTGAGACAGCATGTGACTGTCCACCAAAAACCTCTGAAGTCGTTTGCTTTCTTTTCAAAGGTGGATATCAAGATAGTAGCATGTGCCTACTTGGGCAGGCGCACAGCATGTGTACAGGAACTGATGGTGTGCTCGCTCACTTTCACTTTTCACTGAGCAAATCATCCCTTATAATGGCAGTCCACAAAGGTGCAGGTGCATCTCGGCTTTTAAATGGAGTGAGAGATGACACTCTGATTGGGTTATTGAGTGCTACACGGAAAACACATTCATGAATGATAAAGACACAGTTCAAACCTTTCCCACCTTTATTTTTGATTTGGACACACCTTTAAAACCCAGATGATGCATTAAAATGGAGATTGTCAAGTCCTGAGGAATCAAATTTAGTCATTAACTCAGTCTTTACTTCTCTATCTGCCTGCCTGCTGCTATTTATTATCACTTTATTCTATTCAATGTGGTAGTTAAAGTTTTATTTGTTCATTTTTAGTGCACCAAATACCAGATATAGATATACAGGGAAAATACTTGTCCTCTTTCCTCTGGTTTGTCCATCTGACACATACAGTATGTCTTCATGTCAGCCAGTAGGTCAGTGGAGGGTTTTTCTTGCAGCCTGCTCTGCATTCATCTGTGGAGAACCAGACCAGACAACCTCTTCCCGCCGAGACAAACCTGCATCACCAGCATCACAAACGCTTACTTTATAGTCGTGTGTTTTAAGATTAGAAGGTAATTCCCTGCTGAGTTTGAGGCAACCGCGTCTTTTGTCTACGTTGTTCACAGCTTGTGTACCCTGCGTGCTCTGAAACCCCTGTCACAGCATGTTATCGTAGCCATATGCAGCTGCCCCAACAGTGAGTCATTCTCCATCGCTGTCAACTTCTCCTGTGAACAAGCGCGACTGCCTACTGCCTGGTCCTGTGGACTTTGCTGGGGGCTCTAGGGAACAGCAGTGGTTCTCATACATGCTTTTTGTTATTCTCTCAGCAGTGTGCACGAGGCCTTCAGACTGCTGCTGACTGCAACATTTTACCATTTTGCGTTTCTTTCTTTTTTCTATACTAATGGTGCAGAGTATGTACATGGGCTCTCTCTGCTGTAAGTAGATGTTGTAATCACTGGGAGCTGTTTGAGCCATTGACTTTTTTTCTCATATTTCCCTCCAGCTCACACCAGTTGGAACGACCATTTTCACTGGCTTTGCAGGAAATAACGGCGCCACAGATATTGACGACGGGCCCAATGGACACATAGAATACAGCATCCTTTACAACCCCAATGACCCGGTATATGGACAAGTCACGCCATGATAAACACCCTCTACACCATTGTAAATTTCTTCAACAATCATGGCTTTTTGCTCACATGCACCTTCCTTTCTGTCTTATCACATGGACCCTCTCTCTCTCTTTCAGGCCTCTAACGGAACAGTGAGTGTCGCTAACACTCTGTCAGGGCACATTACTCTGGCAGAGAGGCTGAACTATGAGGAGAGAACTCGCTACCTGGTCTTGGTCCAAGCCAACGTAAGTGAACTCTTCCTTTATTTTTCTTTTAAGTTGTCTACCTCTGCATTGACCTTGAAGTGAGAGAAGTACAAAACTGATATCTGGAAATGTGCTTTGTTTTAAAGCATTTGATTTCACACACAGCCTCCTGAGAAGGTTTAGTCGGCCCATAGGAGCCCATATGCATGTTGATAATCCCCTTTTAATGGCCTGATAACAGTCAAATCAGTGGTATGCAGCAGAGCCTGATCATTTAGCTGACAAGAATCACCCAAAATGAGCCTTTCACAGGCATATCAGTATCAGCCTTTATCGACCCTTTTATTTTACAGAATAATATTGCAGAAACAATTTGCATTTCTGTTTACATTTTACAAAAATTATCTTTATTTTCTGAATTCAGGCTCTATATATTTTGTTGTATTTGTCGTTATTCATAATAGAGGTTATGGTTAAACCATAAAATGTCAAGCCTTAATACAGTTCTTTCGTCCTAAGGATTTGATGACCACATCATTACCATTTTTCCGCAAGTTATATATCGGTATTTTCTTAACTCTCAAACAGCTGTGTCAGCATCGGCCTGCAAAAATCCATGTCAGTCGGACTCTGGTGTGCAGATTTGAAATCCCATAAAACACCTGTTGTAAGTTACACATTGTAGCAGTATTTTCACAGTTTTTTTTACAAAGTCAATAGTTGCTTTAATGAGTTTAACATCTTACAACACATAATGTCCACTTCCAGATTTCTGTTTTCAGGCAAGGTCTGATGTACATTCTCTTTTACAAGTGTGGTCAAATTATCTTTTCATTCTCAGTTTTGTCAATCGTGCAAAGTCTGCTCGTTCTTACCAAAAACTAATTAGAGATCACTCATCTTCCAAACACGTTGTTTAACTTTAATTTAACTGATACTAATTCACATTTCAGGGTCAGCAATCTTTAGACTGAGACGATTGAATCCTCTGATGTTCCATTACAACTTACTGTTATATAAAAATTGATAGAAGCCGTCATTGAGACGTTACAAGTGTTTACAGTCTGAGAAGCTTTTTATATCTTAAGTTGATTCAATGATGGATTTAACTTGAGGGGGGACATTTTTTCTTCATGCTCTTGTCAGACAACATGACAGAGAAAATATTGTATATTAAGTCGTCCTAATGATAACATTAAAGCACTATGAATTATAATGAAGACATTTATGTGCTCTTCTCTCATCCTTACCAATTGCTATTAGGCAGCAGATTTCTGCAACGCCACTGGCCAAGAATCTGAATCAAACACAAAGACACAAGGGTTAAATCTTATATTTTCCCAATCCTGAAGCATATGGATGTTTCCAAGCCTAATTGTGTGAAAGCTGAATGTGTGAATATCCGAAGCTTGATTAACAAAAGTTTGTATATTGTACATATAAGATTCTCTTATCTTAACAATCAGTGGTCAAATGTTAAACCGTACAATGTAAAAAGGGAGAGTTAAAGCACTGCAGCACAGATAATCATTGAGCAGTCAACTCATCTCCCATTCTCTCCATTTTCTGCTCGAGGGAGCAAAAGACTCGGCTCTTTAGCCTGGTGAGAGGTCCTCCAGGGAGATTTCATTTTCTCTTGGAAGAGGACTTCTGAGGGGGGAGAAAGAAGGAAGACATGATATTTACTAGGACGGCTGCACTGCTTGTGTCAAGAGTTCAATTACACTGACAACACAAATCTTTGAAGTGCTGTGCTGCTCACTTCTCTGGGCACCAAACTTGTGAAGCAACAGTTCCACAACGGGGGGATGTTTTTTAAGATATATGCTTTAAAGTCGTGTCTTACTCTAATTACTTCCATAAAAAAAGGAAAGATTGGGTGGATGTAGAGGACTAGACCTGTTCCATCTGGTTTTAAGTGGTTTGTTTTGGATACGTTTGCTTTATTTAATCTTTTCTATAAGTATAAACCTTCTTCCTGAGTGCTACTTTATTAGCTCTCATCCAAGGATATTTGTGTGGTAATGAAAAGTATTTGTTCGTTTTTTATATGAAAAGTCTGCAATCTATTTTCACATTGTGTGTGTGTGGATGTTTTGATCTTAATGATATAATTAGGGTTGCAAAATTCCAGGAATTTTCAAAGTTGGAAACTTTCTATGGGAATTAACGGGAATAAATCTGAAATTTACAAAATTGGAGGTTGGCCCTCAACAGGGAACTTAAATATAGTT